AGAGAATCTTAGATCTTATCCAAAGTAAGTGCCCCCAAGTCTCTAGTGTAGCAAGCTGGGGATAGAGAGGGGCTAACAGGAACAGGTTGGAAACAGAGCAGGTCAGTAGGCCCAACAGTGGCCAGTGCATGTCCAGCCTGGATAAGATAGGGAGTTAAGGTTCAAAAAAGGATAGGGAGTAGTATAGCTCTAAGACTTTTGAGTATCTTTGGGACTTTTATTTTTGTGGGTTTTTTTTCTTTTAAATCTTAGTATCTAGATTCATCATGCCTGTCAGTGATACCTCTGAGCTTCAAGAATATGGATATTTTGGTCACTTTTCTAGCCTACTTACAAATTGTAATGGTTGAAGAAGTCCAAACATAACAACTTTCTTTATTTTATTTTATTTAATAATATTTTATTTTTTCCAACTACATGTGAAAGACCATTTTCAACATTCATTTTTTGAAAGATTTTAATTTTCAAATTTTTCTCCCTCCCTCCCCAAGATGGCAAGCAATCTAATATAGGTTATACATATACAATCATGTAAAACATTTCTACGTTAGTCCTGTTGTGAGAGAAGAAAGGGAACAAAAGGAAAAAAAACCACCAAAAAAAAATAAAGTGAAAATAGAATGCTTTGATCTGCATTCAGACTCCATCAGTTCTTTCTCTGAACGTGGAGAGCATTTTCCATCGTGAGTCTTTAAACATAGCCTCTTTCAGGGGCCATCCAACTAAACTAGAGAAGGGTGAACAATCTGGGTTCACAGGAGAGGATGCCCACACAAAGGATGAAATTTCAGATCCTTTCAGTACTGAAAGAACTTATAAATAACAATAATAGCTAACATTTATATAGTGCTAAGCACTTCACAGCTGTTATTTCATTTGATCCTCACAACAACCCTGGAGGTAGATGATATTATTATTCCCATTTTTATAGATGAGAAGACTGAGGCAAACAGGTGTATTGACTTGCCCAGGGTCACACAGCTAAGTAAACGTCTGAGGTTGGAGGCTTATGAACTCAGCTCTTCCTGACCTCAAGCCCAGTGCTCTATTCAATATGCCACCATACCATTATATGAGAAATAACTCAAACCAAGCCTGGTGATTTTTCTGCCACCAGTTTAGACACATCTGAGGCAGCCCATGGTACCAGATGACAGGCCCGACCTCACATCTGTTGGTAGAGATTTGAGGGAGGGAAGGATTTGCAAAGCCTTCCCCAGCAATTCCTTTTAAATCTCTGCAAATGAATACCACTGCTAGGTTTATATCCCAAAGAGATCATAAAAAAGGAAACAGGACCTACATGTACGAAAATATTTATAGCAGCTCTTTTTGTGGTGACAGAATTGGAAATTGAGAGGAAGGCTGAACAAGTTGTGGTATATGAATATAGTGGAATACTATTGTGCTATAAGAAATGATGAACTGGCAAATTTCAGAAAAACCTGGAAGACCTACCCAAATTGATACTAAGTTAAGTGAGCAGAATCAGGAGAACATTGTATACAGTAAGAACAACACTGTGTGATGATCAGCTATGATTGACCTAGCTCTTCTCTGCAATACCAAGATCCTAGACAATTCCAAAAGACTCGCGATAGAAAATGCTATCCACATTGAGAGAAAGAACTATGGAGTCTGAATGCAGATTGAAACATACTATTTTCACTTTCTTGTGTGTGTGGTTTTCACCCTTTGTTCTGTTTCTTTTTTCACAACATGACCAATGTGGAAAGATGTTAAACATGATTGCACATGTATAACTTACATCAGATTGCTTGCCATCTTGGGAAGGGATGAGGGGAGAGGGGAGGAAGGGAGAGAGAGAGAAAAATTTGGAACTGAAAATCTTATAAAAAATGAATGGTTGAAAACTATCTTTACATGTAATTGAAAAAAATAAAATACTATTTACAAAAAACACTCTGCAAATGTCCAAAGGAAGACTTTGAGGGGGGCACAATTTATAGGGGATTCTGCAAATTGAACTCTGGTCTTCAGTAGAATTTGGCTCCTAGTGACCTGCACAGATGACTGGAGAGAGGGAAAAAGAGGACTATACCAGCTTCAAGTGGAGGCAGAGGGCTACTCAGCCAGGTCCAAGAAAAGGCATAAGAGACAGGATGAGGAAGGGGGTGGGATCCGTGTCTTTGTCTGTTTTCCTCTTCCAGAGAGAGAACATGACCTTGACCAAAGACAACAGCACTTGGCTAACCCTAAGTATCTCATTCAATCGTTCAACAAATATTTATCGAATGACTGCCCTGTGTTTATTAGCTTCTGTGGCAGGAGGGAAGTAAACTGGAGGGAGGAAGGAAATTATTATTGGACTGAATGGGGGAAGAGGGACTGTTTTTATAGCCAAGGCTGAATTAAAATATGATCAAAATCTTTAAGGCATAAAGTGAATAGAGCTCCTGTCGCTAATCCCTAGAATCCTGAATTAGGAGAATTTAGAATCACAGGATTAGAGGATTTAGGGCTGGAACTGACTGCAGAAATCTATTTCCACCACCCCTCCCCTTTTACAGATGAGAAAACTAAGACCCAGAGGGAGAAGTGACCCGCCTACTTACTACATAGGTAGTAAGCCTCTGAGCTGGAATTTGAACCCAGATCCTTTGTCATTTCTACTACTTCTCCTACTCCATCCCCAAGTTTAAGGTGGGGGTGGTATTGGGGGAAACCACAACCTTATACAGCACAAAATAAATACTGCACATAATTTAATCAGCTCCAGAAGCTGAGTGCACAAATAAAAAAAAGGAAGGATCTTAATACATTCACAGATTGATGGGTTACGGAGGGAAGAGAGTGAGTTGGTAACATCAGTTTAATGTCAGAGAGGAATGCCTAGGAATGAGCCGGGGGGGTGGCAGTGGGGGTGATCCACATTCTTTTGGGTGATACTTTAAGCTGTGAATCATATATGCAGCTGTTCCTATCTCTGGTCCCATCCTCCAGTACTAGGAGGAGACAGGACAAGAACACTTAGGAAAAATGTCTTGCCCACTACTGCTCCATTCTCTCCCCCCCCTTCCCCCCAACAAAAGGAAGGTAGGTTAGGCTTGTCCTTGGTTACCTTGGGGGAACATGAGATCATAGATCTAGAGCAGGGGTCATCTAGTTCTACTCTCTTATTTTACAAAATGAGTAAACCGAAGCCCTTAGACAGCTAAATAGATAAAGCACTAGGGCTGGAATCAGGAAGACTCATCTTCCTGAGTTCAAATATGGCCTCAGATGCTTACTAGGTATGTGACCCTGGGCAAGTCACTTGACCCTGTTGGCCTCAGTTTCCTCAACTGTAAAATGAGCTGGAGAAGGCAATGGCGAACAACTCTAGGATCTTTGCCAAGAAATCTCTAAATCAGTTCAGGAAGAATTGCACATAATTGAAAAAGCTACTGAACAAACTGAATCCCTGGAACAGTAAGTATCGAGGTGAGATGTGAAACCCGTAGTAAGTATTAAAAAAAAAAAAGCTACAGTAGAAGACATTGGCAAGGAGGACCCCTAATTCAGAGGAGAGAGGACACAGGGCTGTCTGGGCTGGACACTATGAGAATAAGTAGACAATAGAACCTAGTGCCCTCGTGGGGTAAGAGGCTCCATTCTGTACCCAGGTCAGGTCTCTTATCCCTGTGGATAGCAATATCACCAAGAAGCCTTTTTTATTGTTCTCTTCCTCCTGTGCCCAGTTATGGCTTTGGGAGGACCTTCCAAGCCCAAAAGTATTCAAGTGCAGGCCTGCCTGCCGAGGCTATATCTGATAACCAAGGAAAGACCAGCCTAGTTAAATTGGGGGAAAAAACTCATTCTGAGATTGGCCACAAGATGATGGCTTTTTGGAGCTACTACAACTTTTGGAAATCATCTGTGTTGTGGCAAGGTTGTGATGATTGGGAGGAGTGCCCACCCACACCCTCATGAGCTTCTCCTTTTCTTTTCTTTTTTTTTTTTTTGCAGAGGTATGGGGCAGGGCACTATGAGGGCAGAACATTACATATACAATTATATTCTAATGGATAGGAGCTGAACTGTTCTTTCTCTTTGTTACAGGAAATGGCTCTTCGGGAGGAGGAAGATGGAAGAATAATGATGATGATCACGATGATGATAACCAGCATTTACTATAGTTTTTTAAGATTTGCAAAATAGTTTACAAATATAGTCTCATAGAAAAATGAGACTGATGGTGTCTTAATGCAAACTGAAGCATATTACCTTCCTCCCTCCCCTTTTCTTCCTCCCTCCCTCCATCCCTTCCTCCTTCCTTCCTTTTCCTTCTTTCTTTCTTTCTTTCTTTTTCTTTCTTTCTTTCTTTCTTTCTTTCTTTCTTTCTTTCTTTCTTTCTTTCTTTCTTTCCTTCTTTCCTTCCTTCCTTCCTTCTTTCCTTCCTTCCTTCCTTTCTTTTCTTTCTTTCTTTCTTTCTTTCTTTCTTTCTTTCTTTCTTTCTTTCTTTCTTTCTTTCTTTCTTTCTTTCTTTCTTTCTCTTGTTTTCTCCCACAAAATGACTAATATGGAAATATGTTTTACAAGATTGCACACGTATAACTTATATTAGATTGCTTACTATTTCAGGAATGGGGAAGAGATAGAATTTGGAACTCAAAACTTCAAAAAAAATGTTAAAATCATTTTAAGTGTAATTGGGGGAAAACGAAATATTATTAAAAATATAGTCTAATTTTATCCTTACAGCCCTGGGAGGTAGGTGCTATTATGATCCTCATTTTGCAGATGAGAAAATTAAAATAGGCAGAGATTAAGCAATAACTGATGAGTGTTTGAGGTCAGACTGAAATTAGGGTCTTCTAACTGCTGGTGTGCCACCCAGATGCCTATTTGGAAATGAAGGTGATAAAAAAGGTATCAATTAAAAATTTATCACAAAAGGCTCAAGTAATCAATTAAAGTAAATACATTACCAGATAGAACCCTCCCTTCTCCTCAAGTTCAGAAACAAGAGTCCAGTTTTTCTGGTTATGTAAGAAATATTTATTTTAACAAGAAGATAAGGCAGTTAGAGGGATAGATTGTGTATAAAGGAGTGTTTAGTGGTCCTATCAGAGTCAGGAAGGCTGGACTGCATATGTATTGGGGGAGGGGAATATGCAACATCCCCCATCTCCCTGGCCTTTTCTAACTACTATTGGGAAGAATCTTCTGAGTCTTCAGAAAGTTGCCCAGAAGTTGTGATGATCATAGGAAGATCATCTCCTGTCTTTTCCCAAATGGTGCCCCCAAGACTCACCCTCCCTTACTCCCTCCCTGCACCCTTCCCCCCTATACAGTTGTCTATCTCAGGGACCAGCTAGGAAGGAAGAGAAGGAGAAAAGAGATAAGACCAAGAAGAAAAAGACAATCCAGAGATTCTTCCTCCAGACCCTGACAGTTTGACCTTAACATTGGTATTGGGACAATGTGGCAAGATAGTGGTGGATCCCTGAAAGGCACAAGCCCTACCTACCCTCATCACTAATGACTGTGAGAATAGAGGTTAGGCTGAAAGATGGGAAGGAAAGTCCTCTCTTTCCCATTAGTGGCCTTGTGTAAGGTGCTTGACAGAGAAGGGGATGGGGGCCAGTTTCAGAAATGATCATGTCTTCTAGGTGTGAAGATTGGGAAGCCTGAGCTGCCCCTTATAATCTATAGTATCCCTCCTTCCCAGGCATGGAAAGGAGTGGGGACCCTCACCATCAAGAGCAGAATCTACTGGAGTAAAGGGATAGGGGAAAGTGAGTGTGTGAGAGAGGGAGGCTATAGAGGGGTCATTAGGACCACACTTTTATTTCCTAAAATAATCTTATCTAGAATATAGAGATAGAGAAGAAAACCAACTGACCCTTGGGGAAATGGGAGAATCTATGGAGTTTGTGTCCAAAATTGTTCAAGTCAGGGATATAGGAGGCTAAAGCAGGAATGTAGGAGAACAGAATAAAGCTAGAGGTCCAGACCTCTATCTCAGGAAACCCCCAACTCTTGGATGATCCAGACATCTATCTGACTTCCTTCCTCAAACCCAGCTCCATGTCCAACTTGTACATGTAGAAGGAATGATGGTAGCAAGATGACATTTCTTTCCAGTTCCAGCTGGGCCCCCACCTTTGCCACTGTAGGGGACAGGAGGCAGCTCCTGGGGTTCCTCTATCCACACATGGTCAATACCATCCACCCTATGAAGAAAGGTGGCCAATCAGGGGACGAAACCCTGAAGTTGCAATTGGCCGCCGTCTAGAAGGAAGGAGTTTCCCCCCACCTGCTCCCCAACCCAATGCCCGTACCTGGAGTAGGTGCATGACAACTTGACCAATATTCTCAACATCCATGTTAGTGAAAAATCTTGGAGGGAGGAAAAGGAAGATTGAACATAGTGTAGGGTATAGGAGGTAACTGGGAGCCTGTAAGAGGTTAAGATGCATGTCTGGAAGCTAGCAGGAATCCTGGTTCCTTCCTCCTTTCCATTCAACCCGCACTAGGCTGGGTCAAGTTTAAGGGAGCCTCCTTAGATGTTCTGTGTGATGGAAAGAAAGAAAGGGAGCAGCCTCTGGGCCTGGGGGTAGGGTAGGCATAGATGGTAGAGAATGGGCTGAGAAAGGTCATGTTTTGAGGATGAGGGTGCCAGGCCAGGGATGGAAACTGTACTGTGGCAGACTGAAGGATTCTGGAATGGGAGAATATGAAAGTGGGGATGTGAATTCAGCGACTCACAGTACATGGCCTCCAGCTTGACAAGGCAGCAGTTAAATTTGTTAAACTGATGCTCGTGTTCTCATCTGAATAGTGGGATACTAGCACCTGGAGCAACTTCTTTAGTTCGATGCCTAGTGAAGGAGGTGGGAGAGTAGGGGAAATTAAACTGCTCCCTCACTCCGATCGGTCACGAAGAAGTCTCCCCTCCCAACCTTCCCTCTGCATAGAAACAACCCTGCAGCACCCTCCTCCAACCAAAGCAGAGTTGCCCCCCCCCCACCCCAACACCAGTCGCCCTCTTCATTGGCTGCTTCCACGGCCAGGCGCATCTCGTAGGAGTTCATGGTGCCAGACTTGTCTGGATCATATTTGCAGAAGGTGGCCTGATGGGAAAGAGAGATGGATGGTAACAGGGCACCGGGGATGTGCTGGGATGGATTGAGAGTGAAGAGAGTATGGCCAGTAGCACTGAGGAGGGGACAGAAAACAAGACAATGAAAGAGAAGGGGCAGGGGTGTGTAGTCTGGGTGGACGGTAAGGACCACAGAGGAAGTCTCCTCTCTCCTGAAGGCATAGTGGAATGGGTCTTGTGTGGAAGGCACTCTATAAAATGCTATCAAAATAAAAGCTTTTGCTTTTGTGTGTGTGTGTGTGTGTGTGTGTGTGTGTGTGTGTGTGTGTGTGTAATCAGGGTATGGGCAGGACGAATATTGAAGAGTAGCAGGAAAAGCAAGTTTCCATCCCAGGTCTTCCATCCCAATATGTATATTTCTTCACACCAACAGCCCTTTCCCCTTGTCTTTGGAACGGAGATAGTCCACTCATTCCTCTTCTTCCTCAGTGGCTTCCTGTCACTTCTTCAGTGAGGTAGGGGGGGATGAGAGGGGATTCTAACCCTATATCTTGCCTCTGCCCGTTCCACTTACCTTACTAAACTCTCTAGATACCTATTTCCCCGACGCCCTCCCACATATACTTAGCTTGTCCTTGTCCATCACCCCCTTCCCACCAGCCACTTCTGAATCTTGATCCACAGGACCCGAAACTCCACCATGCTCAGGTGACCACTGCCATCAGTCTGGAGGGAGGGGGCAGAGGTCAAGGAGAACAGAGAGAAAAGGGGGCCCCTAGGAGAAGGACAACTCCATAAAGAATTGCTTGAATCTCCTACTCTCCTACTCCGGAGGTGGGGAGAGTAGAGGGCGGTAGGGAAGGCCAATGATGATCCTGGGTGATGCAGTCTCCACCAGAAGTGAGGGCTTTTGTGGGTTGGGGATGGAGCAGAGGAATCAGAGGACTGAAGAACTAGCAAGAACTTTAGACACCACCCCCCTTCCCCACACTCATTTCACAGCCGAAACTGAAACCCAGAGAGGGAAAATGACTTCACCCAGGTCTCCTAAGAAGTAAATACGAGAGCCAGAATTCAATCCTGACTCCTCTGATTCCAAACCTAGTACACTTTTCAGTTCCCTGCTGTCCCTTCTGACAGAATGTAATCTTTTTTTACCCTTTATATCTTCAAAATCTTACACAGGACCTGGTGTATAGTAGTAGCTTAATAAATACCTATTGATTTATCGATTGCATTCCCTGCACGTTCCCTGCCTACCCCCAAGGAGAAGAAAGACTGGGATTTTCTTGACATTTTTCCTTTCTGGAAGAGCCCAATCCTGCCTGGGAAGCTTATAGTAAGGAATACAAACCATCAAGGAGCAGAATGTATTTGATGGGAACGTTGTAGGAAAGCTAATAGAGAACTGTAGATTTAGACCTCAGGCCAGGTCACCTGATTGAGGTCACCTTGTCCAGTTCCTCCATTTTACAGATGAAGATGAGGCCCTGAGAATTCCCTTACTGGGCCAGATTGGCTTGAACTGGAGTCTAGGTATGGAGTAGTTCATGTGCATAAGATATAGTGTTTAGGTGCTTTGAGGAGACAGGCAGAGCAAAGAGCCAGGGGACTCTCTTTCCCCAAGACCACAGGGGCTAGGGACTGGAGAGGATGAGGAGGGACAGGAGGACTTATGTCATTTATGGGAACCAGTGCAGAAGGTGGGTACATCCATGAGGTTCATCATGTTCTGACAGAACATGAGGCAGAAATCATCAATATTCAGGTCTTTGTCTGGGGAAGGAGAAGATAAGTTGGTGATGGGAAGAAGGGGGATGAATAGATAAGACAAGGAAGTTTACAGGGAGGGAATGATAGAGGAAGGGAAGAAGTGGGACACAAGGAGGTGCGATGGGGGCCAGAAGGGAAGGGGAAACTCACCTTTGGAGATCATCTTGTTGAGTATTTTTCCAAACCCGTGGATGTCAACCTCCTTGTCCTACAGGAGAGACAGAAAGTAAGTTCACTTGTCCCTGACACATACACCTCTCCCCACCTCCCATCTTTGAGCCCTTCTCACCTCTCCTTCTAGTTGCTCAAATATTTTCTTAAGGGATCCTTCCACATCACCCTCATTAATTTTCTCCTAGGAGTAGAGAGGCAATGAAGGAGTGGCAAGCTTTCCAGGGCTCTAGGTCACAGCCCCACCCCACAATTCTTCAATCTCCCCCCCTTCTCCCATTTCCCCTCTTACCAGATCAGGCAGTGCTGCAGTGAGAACATAATCTAACTCCCTGGAGAAAGTTGAGGAGAAGTTGATTTAGGGATAAGGGGGGTAGGTCAAGGATCATATAGTAGTCTTTTAGAGGAGGGGAAAAGAGTCTAGGAGAGCCAACATATAGGGGGAGACGTACTAGGTTGGGAGTCAATAGACCCAGGATCTAATCTCAGCTTCCCCATTAACTAGCTGTGTGACCTCAAGTAAAGCACTTCTCCCTGGGCCTTAGTATACACACACACACACACACACACACACACACACACACACACACACACACACACATATAATATGTATGTATGTATGTATGTATAATCTATAAAACAAGCTAGTATGAAACATTCTTTCTGATCCTGAAAGTCTGTGATCTGTTATACAGAATCTTGGAGTTAGATGGGGCCTCAGGGTCATCTAGTCTAATCCTTATTTCCAACAGAAACCCCTTCTACAACGTAATCAATAAATGGTCACCTAGCCTTCAAAGCAAGACCTCTGCTGATGGGGACATGGAGGCATGAGATGCCTCTCTCAGGGCAGCCATTTTCACTTCTGGACTGCCCTTATCATCAGGGAGTTTCTCCTTATATCAAAGCCAAATGTGCCTGTCCGTGACTTTGGAGCAATGGTGGACACATACACACAAGCACTTGGAATTCTGGGACGAGGAGGAGGGGAAGAGGGAGAGCAGGGGGTCAGACTTGGACTCACTGAAGTTTGCTACATTTCATAGTGAAGTCTTGAATCACAAAGTCAGCCTCCTGGTGGGGTTGGAAGGTAGAAGGCACAATGATGGACTCCCCAGAGGTAGTTGAACATGGACACAAACATCCCTCAGGTTGATGAAGTTTTCAGACTGGGCTACGCACTGATTCTTCAGGAAGAAATTCATCTTCAAGTGTATATTGCTGATGCCCTGCAACTGCATGGGCGCAGGATGGGGTGGGGGAGTAAGCATAGCAGTGCACTAGGCAACAGGGATAGCATGGGTATAGCATAGGCAATGAGGATGGGCCCCTCTGGGGAGAGTAAAGGGGGAACTCAGCTTTCAGCTTAAGTGGGTTCAAGGCCATGTTTCAGTAGAAACCCACAAGGAAGAAGATAAGGTGAAACCAGGGGTTGGTGAGGTCTCCTTGTCCAACTTAAAACAGTAATAGGTCCCCTATCTCTCTAAGACAAGCCATTTGTCCCCCAAATCTCTACTGTAGCTGAAAGGCAGGGATATATGTCTCCACTTGGTGACAGCCTGTATAAAGCCCACTGCTGTGTCTTCCATACCTCCTGTGAAATCTGGGGAAAGAGGAAAGAGGGAGAGTCAGGCCTCAGAGATGGGGGCTGGAACAGATGACTTAAATATCTTTTCCTATTCTTCTTCTCTTTCCCTCCCTTTCTTTTCCTCTCTTTCCTTCCTCCTCCACCTCCTCCTTCATCATCATCATCTCATCATCATCATCATCATCATCATCATCATCATCATCTTCTTCTTCTTCCTTTCTCTCTCTCTCTCTCTCTCTCTCTCTCTCTCTCTCTCTCTCTCTCTCTCTCTCTCTCTCTCTCTCTCTCTCTCTCTTCTCCCCTCCTGCCCGCTATGGCTCTGAATCTGGGAGATCCCTGCTGGGAGTCCTCTAAGCCATATCTTCAAAAGGTGTGAAAAGTCCAGAGTTGGGAAATGGGAAAGGTTTACCTTGGGGTGAGTGCCACTTCAGAAAGTTAAGGACAATGAGGTATCCACCTATACGTGTATCTATTATGTGTATTCTGACACACGCACAGCCTATGTGGAGCAGGGATTTAATTGTGGTACAATGGAAAAGATGAGTATATAACCATGTGTGGCCACAATGATGCATGCATTCATCCAAATAATAAATGTCTAATATATGAAAAGCACCATGCTCGTTAGTAAAAGTGAGAGGGCTTGCAAACCTTCCCCACACTCCATGTATTTAGAGCAAGAGTTTTTAACACGGAGACCACAGATTAGATTTCAGGAGGTCTATAAATTTGGATGGGGAAAAATTTACATCTTCATTTTCACTAACCTCTAATTGAAATTTAACAATCCTTTATTATTAAAAAAAAATTATAGACATTATTCTGAGAAGACTTCAGTTCGCCCAACACACACAAAAAGTTAATACCCTGGTTTAGAGGATGAAGATCAGAGAGGGGTGGAATGAACTGGGAGTCAGAACCCTTGAGTTCTAGCCCTGGCTCTGTCACTAACTAGCTCTGTGATCTTGGGCAAGGTGTTTCCTTTTTCTGAGCCATAATTTCCTCATCTATGAAATAAGGATAAAAACACCTCATGAGGTTGTTATGAGAAGCAAATGGTAAAATAGGTAAAAAAAATTATGTGAAATCTCATAATTTGGAGGGGGGAAGAACATATGTTGGAAAGTATGCAGCTGTGATGTAGAATTATTATTTGGAGGTGGGTGCATGAACTACACTACTATGTCACAGGAGTTTTATACGGAAAACACTTTGCAAATCTTAAAATGCTGTTGAAATGAGTAATATTTATATTAGTTTCTGGACAGGAACAATACTGAAAAGTACAAGGAAGAGGAAGTTATTGGGCGTAAGGTGAAAAAGGGGAGAGGAAAGTCCAGGCTCAGGTCACCTCATAAACAACAAAGCCTATGCTGTGAATGTCCCCACCCCTACTCTGCTGAGCACGGCTGTTCTTTTGCATCCAGGCAATCAGACAGCTACAGGCAATCTCATCATCATCTGGGTCATCATCAACCTCTAGCAGCTGAATCTTAAACTGGGGGTTGATCCAAAATGTAGCTGCGGAATGAAAGGAGCTGGTGGTTAGTGTGTGTGTGTGTGTGTGTGTGTGTGTGTGTGTGTGTGTGTGTGTGTGTGTATGTGTGTGTGTGTAGAAGTTAGAGATTTAGACAAAGAGATGTGTTCTATTAAAAAACAAACTAGATTACAACAATATATTACAAAGATTATACATTATGACTATATGGGATTGATACCAGGAATGCATGGGTGGTTTGACACAAGAACAACTATTAACATAATTGATTACATCAGTAATAAAAGTAACAAAAATTATATGGTTATATCAACACATAGAGAAAAAGCATTTGATATAGTACAATACTCATTTTTCCTAAAAACACTTGAAAGTTTGGATATAAATGGACTTTTCTTTAAACTGATAAGAACTATTTACCTAAAACCATCAGCAAGCATTATTTGTAGTGGGGATAAGCTAGAAGCCTTCCCAGTAAGATCAGATGTGAAATAAGGATGCCTACTGTCACCAATATTATTCAATATTATATTGGAAATCCTGACAATGATAATAAGAGAAGAAAAATAAATAGAAGGAATCAGAATATGGAATGAGGTAATAAAACTATGAGATTTTGCAGATGATATGATGATATACTTGGAAAATCCTAAAGGATCAACTAAAAAGTTAATTGAAATAACAATTTCAACAAAGTAGCAGGATATAAAGTAAGTCCACATAATTCATCAGCATTCCTTTTTATCCTTTTCTTTTTAAAAATTAATTAATTTTTAGTTTTCAACATTCACTTTCACAAGATTTTGAATTCCAAATTTTCTCTCCATCTCATCCCTCCCCCCACCCCAAGACAGCATGCATTCTGAATACCCTTTCTCCTAATCTGCCCTCTCTTCTATCTCTCCCCCCCTTCTCTTATCTCCTTCCCTTTCAATTTTCCTGTAGGACAGGATAGATCTCTATACTCAGCATTCCTATATATCGCTACAGAATCCTGCAGGAAGAGATACCTGGTGATACTCCATTTAAAATAACTCTAGAAAGTATAATATACCTGGGGTATACCTGCCAAACAACCCAAGAACTAGATGGACAAGATCATAAAAAACTTGTATACAAACAAAATCAGATTTGAATAAATGGAGAAATATTAATTCTTCATGGGTAGGCAGGGCCAACATAATAACAATGACAATTTTGCCAAATTTAATCTACATATTCAATGCCATCCCAATTAAATTAACAAAAATTATTTTACTGAGCTAGAAAAAATAATAACAAAATTCCATTTGGAAGAACAAAAGGTCAAGAATATCAAAGGAACTAAAGGGGAAAAAAGGTAAAGGAAAGAAGTTTAGCAGTACCAGATCTTAAACTGTATCATAAGGCAGTAATTATCAAAACTATCTGGTACTTGCTGAGAAATAGAAAGGTAGACCAGTGGAACAGAGTAAACACACAATTTACAACAGCAAATGAATATAGTAACGTAGTGTTTGACAAGTGTAAAGACTTAAGTTTTCAGGACAAGAATTCATTATTTGGTAAAAATTGTTGGGAAGGCTGGAAAGCAGTTTGGCACAAATTGGGCATAGTCCAATCTCTTATACCATTTACCAAGATAAGGTCAAAATGACCTAGACATAAAGGGAGATATTACAAGAAAATTTAAGAATATGGAACATATTTCCTGTCAGACTTATGGACAGGTGAACAATTTATGAACAAACAAAAGATAGCATTGTGAGATATAAAATGGATAATTTTGATTACATTAAATTTAAAAAGGTTTTATCTAAATTAAACTAATATAGCCAAGATCAGAAGAAAAGCAGAAAACTGGGAAAAATTATTATAGACAGTTCCTCAGATAAAGGTGTCACATCTCAAATATATTAACAACTTCATCAAATCTATAAGAATGAGTCATTTCCCAATTGATATATAGTCAAAGGATATGAACAGACAATTTTCTGATGAAGAAATCAAAATAATTTATAGTCATGTGAAAAAATTCTCTAAATCGTTATTGTTCAGAGAAATGCAAATTAAAACAATTTTGAGATAGCATTTTATATCTATCAGATTGGATAAAACCATAGGAGGGGAAAGTGACAAATGTTGGAGGGGATGTGGAAAAACTGGGGCCTTAATGTATTGTTGGTGGATCTGTGAGCTGATCCAACCATTTTGGAGAGTGATCTGAAATTATGCCCAGAGTTATTAAACTGCTTATACCCTTTGACCCAGCAATACCACAATTAGGTCTGTTTCCCAAGAGGACTGGGGAAAAAGGAAAAGAACCTATATGTTCTAAAATACTTATAGCAGTTCTTTTTGTGGTGGCAAAGAACTGGAAATTATGGGCATGCCTGTCAATTAGGGAGTGTCTAAACAAATTGTTGTATATGTTCATGATAGAATAGCACTCCGCTATAAGATATGACAAGCTCGATGATTTTACAAAAACACGGAAAGACGTGCACAAAATAATGAAGAGTGAAGTAAGCAGAACCAAGAGAACATTGTATACAGCACCAGCAATATTGTTTTCAGAACAACTTTGAGCAACCAAGTCATTCTGACTTTTATAAAAATCCAAATTAACTGCAAAGGTCCTATGAAGGAAGATGTTGTTTGCAACCAGAAAAAGAACCGACATACACACATATGTATGTATGCATACATACATATACATATATATATATATGTTTGTGTATGTATATACACATATACATATATATGTTTAATGGTAACCATCTCTAGGGTGGGGGCAGGGGAGAGAAAAAGTTACATGATAACTGTTGTTTATTTAAAAGGAATGGAAGGTTGTATATGAGAGATCTGCAGTTTCAGGTGCAATCCTCTTTTTTTTTGTATTCCACTTTGTTATAGAAATGCTGGTTTTATTTCTTAAGTTTAAAATTTTTAAAAATGGAATTAAAACAAAAACAAGCTAACAAACAAAAAGCTTTCCCAGAGTGGTTTAACAAAATGTGATAGATGAATGTTATGGTGCTGTAAGGAACAAAGAATGTGATGACTACAGAGAAGCATGGAAAGACTTCCATGAACTGACACAGAGTGAAGTAAGCAGAGCCAAGAAAAACAGTATGTACAGCAACTGCAACAATGTAAATGGAAAGAACAACTACCACAAAACAACAGGAAATGAATGTTACAAAATTGCAAGGAACAAACTTGGCCCCAAAGAAGAGGTATGAGAAGATATCTTCCTTAATTTCTTTGCACAGGTTGGTTAAAAGCTGTGGAAAATTACATACAGTCAGGTTTTTTTTATGTATTGATAGGTTTTGCTGATTTACCTCTCCCCCCACCCATCTTTCTCTCTCTCTCTCTCTCTCTCTCTCTCTCTCTCTCTCTCTCTCTCTCTTTTTTAATGGAGTAGTTCTCTGGGAAGAGGAGAGTGAGAGATACGCGCAATAGTGCTTGCCTGAGAAAGCAGATACTAAAATTTTCGGTGTGAGCATTTACATCTTGGAAATCAGCAAATGAAACAAATTAGGCCTCAATTTCTTGTTTTATTGATTGTCTAGACTTAAGAAAAGGATGGAGAAAATGATAATGATGTAAATCAAACTTAAAAGTGTGCCACACTGATATTTCTTTCCTTGAAGAGCCGGTTAAATATTTATCAGCATGGATACATGAGGAAATTTAGACAATGTAAAAACAAGAGATGTCAATAAAAAAAATTATTTAAGGGAAAAAACTCCTGGGGTTGGACTAGATAATCTCTGAGCTGTCTTCCAGTTTTAAATCTTATGAATTCTGAGTGAAGTTTGCCTTACTATTTAAGAGTCCTGAATCCCGTATCCATAGGTGGATTGGGTGTTCAACCGCATTATTGTCAGAGAAAAAGAACATAAATCCCCCAACAGAGAAATGGGAAGTAAAACAGAGATAGTGATAGCAGAAGGAAAGCTTTATGGGAGCTCTGAATCAGTCCAGTGGGTTTCTTTTCCTCCCTAGGGAACAATTTTTATTCTTCTGCCTTTCAATCCTTATGACCGCAGCCACCCCATCCCACGGCCCTTGATTCTCTGTAGTCTATTCACCAGAACACCCTCAGACAGGCCTGGGCTCCCCCGCCCTCTCCTCCCAGTCTCTCCCACTCACAAGGATAATTACTGCAACCTCCTGCCATGCTGCCTTTGCGCCAACTGCCCTCAGAGAGTGTTCTGTGCCATTGGCTCACATTGTCTTGGCTGAAGGCATCAGGGGTCAAGTTACAGATTTCCAGGTATGAGAACTGTTGAAATCTGAGAAAGATATTCTGGGCTTGGTGAGAGAAGAAAGAATAAAAGCAGAGAATCCAGTCACTGCCAGCTCCATGGCCTTCCTCCCTTCCTGTGAAAACCGGGGGAAAAAGAAAAAAGGAAGATTGTGAAAGGAAGTATAAAGAATGGGAGAGAAGGTTTAGAGGAAAGGAAAAGGCAACAGATACCCCATCTAGGTATACTGACCAGAATTCCCCATCTTCCAGCCTGAGCAGCAATTGTTCACGGACTTGTTGGTCCACTTCAAGCCACTCCTTGGCACTAAGAATAGAAAAGTGAATGGTCAGACCAACACCGGGAACCTGGCAAAGGACAGGAATCTCTGACTAGGTTCAAACGCTGCCTCTTTCAGTTACTACCTGCGGAATGAGGGGATTGGACTAAACGGTTTTAAAAGTCTCTTCCAGCTCTAAAGCTATGATCCTGTGACACGTAGGGAGCCATGCAATTGGATGTCCTGAAGTTGGGGATGGATCCTGACAGACTACTAGTTTGGCACTCTATACACAAATAAAGCAGATCTAAATAATTGGAGGAATATTAATTGTTCATGGGTAGGCCAAGCCAATGTCAAAAAAATGACAATATTACCTAATTTACTTATTCAGTGCCATACCAATCAAACTAAGAAAGGGTTACTTTATAGAGCTAGTAAAAATAATGAAATTATTTATATGGGGGAACAAAAGGTCAAGAATTTCAAAGAAATGAATGGGAAAAAAATGGAAAGGAAGGGAGCCCTAGCAGTACAATATTTCATACTACAAAGCTGTAATCATCAAAAACAATTTGGTATTGAGTAAGAAAAAAAGAAGTTTATCAGTATAACAGATTAGGTACATGATATACAGAAGCAAATGAGTGCAGTAGTCTAGTGTTTGATAAACCCAGACATCCCAGCTATTGGGGCAGGAACTCACTATTCAACAATAACCATTGGGAAAACTGGAAAGTAGTCTAACAGAAACTAGGTATGGACAACATCTCACACCATATTCCAAGACAAGTTCCAAATGGATACAGGATTTAGACATAAAAGGTGATACCATATTAGAGGAACATGGAAGAAATTACTTGTCAGATCAATGGGTAGGGAGGAGTTCATGATCAAACATGTGCTAGAGAATTTCACAAGAGATAAAATGGACAATTTTGATTACATGGAATTTAAAAAATTTTGTACAAACAAAACAAATGCAATTTAAAAAGAAAAGAAGCAGGAAATTGAGGGGGGGAAATCTTTTCAAGTTCCTCTGATAAAGGTTGCATTTCTAAGATATATAGGGAACTGACTCAAATTTATAAGAATAAGAGTCATTCCCCAACTGTCAAATGACCAAGAGATGTGAAGAGGCTGTTTTCAGAGGAAGAAATTCAAATTATCAATAGCCATATGAAAAAAATGCTCTGTCACTAATAGAAAAATGCAAATTAAAGCAACTCTGAGGTACCACCTCACACCTATAAGATTAGCAAAATTGACAAAAAAAGAGAAATGACAAATGCTAAAGGGGCTGTGGGAAAATGAGTACTTTACTGTTGGTGGAATTTTCTGGACAGCAATTTTGGAACTATGCCCAAGAAGCTGTTAAATTGTGCATACCTTTTGACCAATGGAAGAAATTACTTGTCAATATTACTACTAGGTCTATTCCTTCAAAGAGATCAAAAAAAGAGGAAAAGGACCCATCCATCCAAAAACGTTTATGGCAACTCTTCATGGCATCAAAGAATTAGAAATTGAGCAGATGCCTATCATTTGGAAAATGGCAGAAGACTCATTTTGCAGATTGAGGCATGTCTATATATCTCTATCTCTATCCATATCTATCTATCTATCTATCTATCTATCTATCTATCTATCTATCTATCAGACATGGTTAATGAAGGGAATTTGTTTTGCTTGACTATAACATGTTCTTAACAGGGGTTTTGTTTTTCTTGCTTTCTCTATGGACAGTAGAGAGGGAGATGGGAGGCAAAGAATTCAGAACTGAAAATAAAATAAATTGAATTTTTAAAAAGACTACTAGCTTGGTTTTACCGTCCCAAGTAGACTTTTTTAAAAAATTCCATTTTATTTTATTTTTAGTTTTGAATTCTCTCCCTCCCCCTCTCCTACCCATTGAGAAAAGAAAAGCAAAACCCATTACAAATATGTATAGTCATACAAAATAAATTTCCATATTAGCCATGTTCAGACAGAAAAAGAAAGAATGAAAAGAAGATATGCTTCAATGTGCCTTCTGAGTCTATCCACTCTCTTTGAGGAGGTGGGAAACATGTTTCCTCATGGACCTTTGGAATTGTGGTTGGTCATTGTGTTGACCAGAGTTCCTAAGTCTTTGAAAGCTGATTATTTTTTAGCTATTATTGCTATTATTGTATAAACTGTTGTCCTGGCTCTGCTCACTTCACTTTGCATCAGTTTATACAAAGGGTTATTTTTAAGCCATTTCCCTCATCATCATTTCTTATAGCACAATAATATTCTATCACATTTATATGCCATATCTTGCTCATCCATTCCCCAATTGATGGGTCCCACCTCTGTTCCCAATTCTTTGCCACCACGGAATGAGCTGCTATAAATATTTTTGTACATATGGATCATTTTATCTTTCTCTGATCTCTCTCTCTTTCTCTCTCCCCACCTCCCCTTCTCCTGTTCCTCTTTCTGTCTCTCTCTGTCTCTCTTTCCTCCTTCCTCCCTGTCCCTCTCTCTTTTTCTGTCTCTGTCTCTGTCTTTCTCTAGTTCTTGGAAGACAAGAGAAAATTTCAGAAACCCTGGCTCCTCCACATCCTCCTCTTCTCCCTTCTCATCCCAGTGGCTGAGCTCAAGTCAGGTATAAGTGCAGCCCTGTCTAGCAGCACCAGGGATGGACAAGAGGATCCATCCATCATCCTGATCCCAACATCCTAATCCATACTCAACTTTCCCTATCTCTTGGTCTAGCCCATGGTGAGGTTCATAGATCCTAGGGCCTTCTGCCAGGACTCCTGTATGCTACATCTTCCAGAGGAACATGGGGGGAAATGTAAAGGAGGAAGGGTTTGCCCCTCAACAGGAGGCTTGGTGCATGGCCTCATCAATGACATTGCCCAGAGAACTCTACACCTCAACACAGACTTTAGTGCTGGGTAGGCCCTCTGGTCCCTCATCCCTAGCTATGAAGCATGTGTGGGAGGCAGGGAAAGGGGTGGGAGGGACTTACTTGTCACTCCAGGATCCTTTCCATTCCACCTGGCCTCAAGGATTTTGAATACAGATTAGGTTCTCTGTTCTGCCCTGGTAGCTGATCTGCTGGTAGAGGATTTTTAGTATCAGGAAGGGCCCCTTCCAGGAGTCAGAGGAAACAATGGAATATCTTCCCTCCTCATCTCTGCCCCATGGTCTCTCTGTTCCTTTAAGATGTAGCTCAGACACCATCTTCTACATGAAAGCTTTCCCAATCCTTTCAACCTCTCATGCCCTCTCTCCCAAACTATTTTGAATTTAACTGCTTTGTATATATTCTCTTTATACTTAATTTGAACATAATTATTTGTATACTTATTTTCTCCATCAGAATAGGAGCTTCTTGAGAGTAGGGGCTATTTGAGTTTTTCTGACTATATCACTCGCACCTAGTTCAGTGCCTAGCACTCTTAAGCAACACTTAATAAATGCTTAGGGAATGATTGATCATGGGGTCCTTAAGCTCAGTTGCTGAATAAGCATGGCCCCTCATCAGCTTCATGTAAGTCACAGCCTCTGTCTGGTTCCTTGCAGACTAGAGGATGGGAAGAGTGCTAAGCTCAGCTCAGGGCTTTCAGAGTAGGATTTCTTGAGGTAAGGCTGAGGGAGTTGGGATTGGGGAGAGAATGTGCCAGGATCACAGATTTCCTCACATTCTCTTCTTCTCCCATCTCCTCCTAAGTACAGCATCCAGGTACAAGTGAGATCCTGCCTAGTGGCATCAAGAATGGATGAGAGGATGGTCATGACCCCAAATGTGGGCAGTGATTTCCTTCCCGCATAGGAAAGTCCAGGGCACCTGTGTCCTATGGGGTGGAGAGTCCCTTCTATGTCTTATACAAAGGAGAGTGAGGGAAGAGAGTCCACTTTGTGGAGATGCCTGGGCCCTGATACTCTCCCCAGGACCATGACTTTAGGGTTTAAGGGGTGGGATTTGTACCACTCTTGCAAATCAGGAACCAAAAAGAGCCTTCTTCACCCCAGGAGGTAATGATCTTCACCCTTGGCCCTCTCCTAGTGCTCCATTCTATACCTAATATACTTATCATGTAATAATGGTTCAGAGGATCACAGGATAACAGAGCTTAGAAGGACCTCAGAAATCATCTATTCCAAACTGTCTCCCCAGTTTCACAAATAAGGTAACGAAGACCCCAAGATGTTAAGTGATTTGCCCGAAGTCACACAGATGGCTTCACAGGTAGGATTTGAACATAGGTCCTTTGACTCCATAGCCAGTATTGTTTCCACTGCACATACTGTATTATGGTTGTTTCCACAAAAGAGGAAGTTATGTGAAAGTAGCAACATGTATTATCTAAATACTCTTCTTCTTCCTTTCCTGTTTCCCCTATCCCTTCGAAATTTAGCACAGTACTTTATACAGTAAGCTCCCAGAGGGCAGGAATTGTTTCATTTTTATAGTTGTAAACCCAGTGCCTAGTCTAGTGCCTAGCACACAAGGGGCACAATCAATACTTATTGAGTATTGACTGAATACATATTTGCTGTTGTCATTGCATGTAAGCAGGAACTTAATAAACATTTGTTGTTTTATTATTATAGTCTATTTTGGAAAACACTGTATTGAAGGAAAGAGTAGGCTGTCCTGTCTTAGTACCAAGGCCATGGTCAGACAACTTCATATGTATATATACATATATATATATATATATATATATATATATATATATATATATATATATATATGTACACACACATACACATATATACATATGTATACACAGACACATACACACACATATGCACTGGGCTTGGAATCAGGAAGACTCATCTTCAGAAGTTCAAATATAGCCTCAGAAACTTACTAGCTGTGTGACCCTGGGCAAGTCACTTCATCCTGCTTGCCTCAGTTTCCTCACCTGTAAAATGAGCTGGAGGAGGAAATGGTAAATCACTCCAGTATCTTTGCCAAGAAAACCCCAAATGGGGTCATGAAGAGTCTTACATGACTGAATCTACTGAACAACATCAAAGTGTATGTGTGTGTATATACATATATAAAAAGTTATCATATATGCATACACATTCATATGTATTATATATATATATTTCTAAGTGTATGTGTTGTTATATGTTATACATAGTATATATGTGTGTTTTTTTTCTATCAGGAAAAATCTACATTCTTACCCTCCCATCCCCCTCCCATCCCCCAAAAACTGAGAACAAAAGAAAAACAAAACCCATTATAAACATGTATCATCAATCAAAATAAATTTCCATACTGTCTTTGTCCAAAAAACCCCATCTTTCTCTGGTTAGTAGTTAGTCTAATAAGACTTCCTAATTCTTTCAAAGTTGTTTGCCTTTATCATATTGTTTTTACTGTACACATTTTCCTCCTGCTTCTGTTCACCTTACTCTGCACCAGTTCATACAAATCTTCCCAGGTTTCTCTGTAACCCTCTTCATCATTTCTTTTAGCACAACAGTATTCTACCACATTCTAACTCTTATCATCCATTCCTTATTTTATAGGCACCCCTCAGATTCTCATTCTCTGCCACCTTAAAAAAACTAAATATGTTTTTCTACGTCCTTGGAATTTGTTTTGCTTAGGATTTAATCTTCCTTAAGCTACCCTTCTTCTAATTGCCCCTCCCTCCTTCTCTCCTTTCCCTCCCATTTTCTCATTGAGTGAAATGTATTTCTGTATTAAACTCTGTGTGTGTGTGTGTGTGTGTGTGTGTGCGCGCGCACATGCGTGCATGCATATATTCTTCCTTCCTTTGACCAGTTCAGAAGAGAGGGAAGCTGACGTATCAGCTGCTAACCTCATCTTCCTTCCTTTTCGTTTGTATAGATGTCTATTTGCACTCTGATTATGTGAGATAATTTTCCTAACCTTCCTTTTCTTCTCTCTCCCCCACCCTAGTGCGTTCCTCTTCCCCTCTTTCCATTCTTCTTTTAACATCATCAAGACATAACACAACCACTCCCAGGCCTTGTTTAACTGTGCTTCCTCTATGACCCTGGAGGATGATAGGGTTCAGACACATGTATCATCTTCACATATTCAAATGTAAGAAGCTTTCTCCTTGTTTAGTCTTTATTACTGCTCCTTCATATTTACCTTTCAAGGTTTCTCTGCCCTCCTGTGTTTGAACTTCAAAGTTTCTATGCAGCTTTGTTCTTTTCATCTGGAATGCTTCAAAATTTTTTATTTCATTGAAGTTCTGGTTTTTCCCTGTAAAATTATACTCAGTTTTGCTGGGTAAGTTATTCTTGGTTGCAAGCCCATATTCTTTGCTTTCTGGAATACTGTATTCCAAGTTCTCCACTGCTTTGTAGTGGTGGCTGCTAAATCATAGGTGATCCTATGTAGTTGAATTCTAGCTTTCTGGCTGCTGCAGCATATTTTTTTTCTATGACCTAGAAGCTCTAGATTTTGGTTACGATGTTCCTGAGAGCTTTCATTTTGGGGTTTCTTTCAGTTGGTGACCAATGGATTCTTCCTATTTTCCCTTTACTCTCTGGTTCTAAGTGATCTGGGCAGCTTTCTTTTAAGATTTCTTGAAATAATAATAAAAACAAAACCCACACAAAGATTTCTTGAAATAGAATGTCTAGGCTCTTTTTTGGTCATGATGTTTAGATAGTCCAATGATTTTTAAATTTTTTCTCCTCAATGTGTTTTTCAGATCAGTTTTTGGTATGTGATACTTCCCATTTTTCCATATTTTTTAGTCTTTTGACTTTATTTAATATTTCTTGCTGATTCGTGGAGTTATTGGCCTCTGTTTCTAATTTTTCAGAGGGTTTGCTGCTTGGTTAAGATTTTGTACCTTTTGTGCCAAGCTGATAACTCCCTCTCCAATTCTTTCTTCCATAGGTCTTATATCTTTTCAATTTTTCTGCAAGCACTCTTATTCCACTTATATTTTTTTTTAAAAACTCTTGCTTCATCTCTTCCAATAATTCTAGTTGCATTTATGCACAAGCTGTGTTTTTCTCTGAGGCTTTCCTTGAAGATAGTTTGGAATCATTCTTTTCTTCTGTATTTGTGTCTTGAGCATCCTGCCACCATGACTTTTTATGGTGGGGTTCTTTGTTGTTTGTTTGTTTGCTCATTCTTCCAGCTTGCTTCCTAACTTCAGGCTGGGATCTGTGGCACTTCCGAAGAGAAGATCTGGATTGGTCTTGAGGCTGCTTTCTTGGTGTTATTAAATTCTCTGTTATTTCAGCTGGGGTCTTGCAAGCTTTCAGTGCTACCGAAGTGGACTAATCCAGGAAATAGTCTGTTTGCTGCCCTCCTGGTCTAAGCTCTGCAGATTTCTGACCTGGATTTTGGTATGAGCAGTAGTAGACTGCTACTGGACCTCAGCCGTGTCACTCAGCTGGAAAGCTCTGTTGGTTCATAGCAATGGAATTGTAGGCTCCCCTTTGCTCTGGGATTCCTGCCCTGGTTTTTCCTTTGCAGACTGGGCTAGATGCTAGAAGTGAGACCTGGCTCTGCTCCTAGGGTCTGAACCCTATGGCTACTATTTTCTTTGGAGCCTCATTTTTTTTTTCAGTACATTCATTACATGGGCCAGGGCCTGCCTACCCAGGAATATCTTCCCCTTGCTCAATTCTCTTTCTTAGTCCACCCTGGATTCTTGACCCAGAACTGCATGGTGCCAGTTGGCATTTGTCCCCATTGAGGTGTCCTGGTATGGTGTCTGGGACTTCTTCTTGCCCTGGTGTACAGTTTTTCTGTGGGTGCTGGAGCGGTCTGTGAAAAATGTGCTCCTCCACTCTTTCCTGTTGCTGCTGAAGTGAATCAAGATTAGAGCTCTTAGGATGGTCCAGAAAACGAAACCACGCTGTTGTCCAGGACACTGTGGGCTTATACTGATGTAACTAGTTGATTTGGAACACTGGAATTCCATTTTTTTCCTGTCTTGTTCCCCCCACCCCACCCCCCATTTGCTTGTAAGGACAGTTATACCCCAGAAAGGTTCCTTCAGTTACATAAAATTCTGTTTGTGAAATGACTTCATTGCCCCGTTCATAATTCTTGTCTTGTTAGGGTTCTTCCAGTTGGTAGAACTTTCAGAGCTCTTGCCTTTGAAAAGTGGAAGGATCTCAATTTTGGATATTGTCATGTTTTCACCATTTTATTTTATTTTGTTTTCTTTTTTTGTTGGTCTTTTTTTGGTCTTTTTTGTTTGTTTTTTTTTAAATGAAGCTATATAAAGCTTGTGGATTAAACAGAATAAACTTCTAAATTAAAAAAAAAAAAGAAAAATGTGCTCCTGGCCCAACCTTGTTCCCGTTGTCTGCAGACCTCTTTGTCTTTCTCTCTATGCTGAATGAGGCTAGATAAATGAGCCACTATGACTTTTTCTATATTTCCCCTTCAGGATTTGGTCTGGTGCATTTTCTAGATCTGTTTGGAGGAGTTTTCTGGAAAGGAGCTCAGGTTTCTACTTCCCCCTACTCTGCCATCTTGGCTCTGCCTGGTCAAATGCCTTCTCAAAGGGAAGGCTAAAAAGGAAAAACAACCTATCCCCTATCTCTCCTCTCCACCTACATTCCAGGGGTCAACAAGAAGGGCATGGTCCTCTGGGACCTAGGCCAGCACAGTATCCTGCACCTATAAGGTATTTAGCAACTATTTGTTTAACTTTGAAAGACTTAAAAACTTTGATCAGTGCAATGACCAGCTATGATTCCAGAGGAAAGGACTCCTAGTGAAGCATGTTATCCACCTCCTTCCTGACAAAAAGGTGATGGACTCGGGCTACAGAATGAGACATTTATTTTTTGGACATAGCCAATGCAGGAATATATTTTGCTTGACTATGTATGTTTGTTACAAGGGTTGTATTTTTTTTTCAATGGATGAGGAAAGTAAAATGGAGAGAAGGTAAGTTTTCATTAATTGAAGAAAATCTTAAATGTTTAGTCAAGTGAAGCAGTGTTGGGGACGGTTAGGTAGCGCCTGTGGTGGAAAAAGTGATAAGAGGGGGCAGTTAGGTGGCTTAGTGGATAGAGCACCGGCCCTGAATTCAGGAGTACCTGAGTTCAAATATGGCCTCAGACACATAACACTTACTGGCTGTGTGACCCTGGGCAAGTCACTTAACCCCATTGCCTAGCCAAAAAAAAAAGTGTTAAGAACATCTCTTACTTCAATACTACAGTCCATTAAGGACCCTCGTTGTAAGGTCCTCTGGATGAGGGTAAGCAGGTTTTTTGGGGGGTATTTGGAGGTTGTATGTTTCAGCCACACCCCCTATAAAGTCCTCAGAGCCTTTAGTTGAAGTGCCCCCAGTAAATGCTTCATATGAACCATTCAGCCTGTAGATGTGGAGAGGACAAGTACTCAGTCAACAACCATTTATTAAGATTTCTCAGAATAATATGCTTAGGTGCACAGGATTGGGGCAACTAAGTGGCACAGTGGATATTAAGCATCACTGTATGCCAGGCATTGTATTAAGCACTGGGCATACAAAGTATGGTCCCTAACTGCAAGGACAGTGAAGAACCAGAGAGACACTCCATTGGAAGGTTTGGTACCTGAGTACCGGAAGAGCAATAGAGGAAGGTGAGTAACTGGTGGGAGTGAGAGGACCAGGGGAGCAATGCATGGTTGAGGGTTTCCCAAACTGGGGACTCATTTAGCATAGGCCTTCTCCAGCAGGGCAGTCCAGAATTCATTCATCTCAGCCCACTGCACAAACACTAGACAGTTATCTTCTGTGGGCAGCAGATCATCCACCACCACGTCTAACTACTCCCCAAACTGCCAGATCTGTGGGCACAGAAATAGGTACCGGTCACAGGACCTAGGGCTCTGCCTGCCCAAGAGTCTGCAGCCAGAGCTCCTCCTGGTGGTTGATTTCCAGGCAGGCACCTTTACCATCACCTTTGTTGACCGCCCCATCAGCCCCCTGAATAACGGAGAATCAGGACACCCCAGGACTACTCTTAGCTCTGTCACTAATTCAATGTGAGTCCTTAGGCAAATCATTTTTCCTTTTCAGTTTCCTCATCTATAAAGTGAGAGGGTCAGATTAGATCATGAATTGTTAAAGCTTTTTGTGTGTCATGGACTCCTTTTACAATCTGGTGAAGCCTGTGGACACTTTCTCAGAATAATATGCTTAGATACAGAGGATTGGGGCAGCTAGGTGGCACAGTGGATAGAGCACTGGTCCTGGAGTCAGAAGGGCCTGAGTTCAAGTCCAGCCTCAAACACACTTACTAGCTGTGTGATCTTGGGCAAGTCATTTAACCCCAGTTGCCTCCAAGAAGAAGAAGAAATGCATAAGCTTACAAAAGAAATCAATTATATTTAAATGCGGTTATGAAAACATCAATAAAACAAATTTATGGACCCCGGGTTAAGAACTCCTGGAATAGATGATCTTTAAGCTTTCAGGTCCTTTCCTCTGCTTCAAGGACCTGTAAGTTTCGCCAATGGAGTATCTATCAGGGCTGGCCAGACCTTGGGCTCTTTGGGGCCATCGCAGCTCCCCAGGACTCTTGGGGACTGCCTGTTCCAGCCCACAGGCCATTGTGTTTCCCTGACCACCCCTCCCTTCACCCCCCATGCCTGTCCCCTATCCACCTACATCTGGTCAGAATAGTAAGTTCGTAAGTACCTAGCACAAAGAGGAAATAGCAGGAAGTAAGCAAAAGGACACCTGGGAGTCATGGACAGACTGTCCCAAAGATCAAAGGGGCATAATTTATAAACTGTATTATATATTAACCAAAAATCACATTGTGGAGCTACGTGCTGAATCAGGAGAAGCCATGTAGGTGCTGCTGTCTGGGCCTTTTCATTCTATGATACATAAATCTCAGATAAATTCCAGACCTCCACAGTTAAGATGACCAGATCACCAATTGGCGCTAATAATTTTGAAATGGTGCGGACATGTAAACTTTAAAGTTTTACTGATGAGGTCCTGAGTTCAAATCTAGCTTCAGACACTTAACACTTACTAGCTGCGTGACCCTGGGCAAGTTACTTAACCCCAGTCGCCTCACTAAAAAAAAAAAATGGACATTTGGGGCAGCTAGATAGATATCAGTAGATAGAGCACCAACTCTGGAGTCAGGAGGACCTGAGTTCAAATCTGGTCTCAGACCAGAGACTTGACACTTACTAGCTGTATGACCCTTGGCAAGTCACTTAACCCCAATTGACTTGCCAAAAAATAAAATAAAATAAAATGAAAATGAAAAAAAAAGTTGGGTTTTTTTTTTTGCTTTTAGGCAATTGGGGTTAAGTGACTTGCCCAGGGTCACACAGCTAGTAAGTGTCAAGTGTTTGGTCTGAGGCCTCATTTGAATTCAGGTCCTCCCAACTTCGGGGCCGGTGCTGTATCCACTGCGCCACCTAGCTGCCCCAAAAATAAAGTTTTACTGACAACTTTGCAATTATTTGGACATGTTAATGAACTGGTGGCACAGTTCCCTCTGCTCCAAACTCTGTAAAAAACTCCATTTCCTGTCCCCATGCTGTCTGCCTCTGTACCCCTTCTTACCACTTGTCTCTGTATAGTCTGTGCCATTCGCCCCACCCACACACCCACCCTCTGTGCCTTATTAAGTGTGATTACAGCCCCACTCCCTGCTACCATCATGGTCTTTGCCCTTGGGTACTCAAAGTTCCAGATGTACTCGCCTCATTTCATAATTTCATAAATTAATGATCAACTCACCTTTGTATCTGCCCTTTGTCCATAACACCTTTGATGTACCACTGACAACCCAGACTTGGGTGGTTTGGTCTAGCCCTGATTTCTCAGGCCCTTCCCACCTCCATCCATCCATCCATCCATCCATGGGTCCCATATCTCAGTAGAACTGGCAGAAAGCTGAGGAGGTGGCTTTGAGGTTGTCTCTGCTATAGTGTTTTCTAGGAAAGTCATTGACCTTGTGTCATTTTCTCTGGCAGTCTGTCAGGTTCAAGGCATCCAGACCTTTAAACTGCTCAGAGAAAGACCAGAACAAGGGAAGCTTTCTCTCTCTCCCCTGCTTGAAGCAGGCCTCTCTGATCTTTCTGAAATCCTAGAGAGTTTTCATCAATTTACATAGCACATATGTCTTTGGGCACTTACTGTCTTATTTATTTTCCCCATGTTAGGTTTTCCTCCCCAGCTACACTCAAGGCTGGGGTTATGGCAGGGATTCCATCTTCTCTGGGTAACCCCAGGCCCCCCCAACTTTCTGCAGACCAAAATTACTGACAGTCAGAGGAACCCCTAGAGTTGTGGATGTCAACCTCTTCATCCCAGAAACCTACCCCAGGTTTCTCCCCACAGGACCAGACTGAATAATGATTCTGGAAGAAGCTTCTGTCACCTAATCTGCTTAATTTGTTATACTTTCTTTTGTTGTTGTTGTTTTTGGTTAGGCAATGGGGTTAAGTGACTTGCCCAGGGTCGCACAGCTAGTAAGGTCAAGTGTCTAAGGCCAGATTTGAACTCAGGTCCTCCTGACTCCAGGGCTGGTGCTGTATCCACTGCACCATATAACTGTCCCTTCAGGCTCTGCTTTTTCCAGCTCTCCTGCTTAATTCAAGCTCAGCTAGGATAGAGAGCTTTCAGAAGCCAGAGTCCTATCCATAACATGGTGAGATGTCTAAGAAGTCAAGTGGAGGAGGCTCTGGGTGTGTAAAAATTTCATATACATATATATATATATACACACACACACATATACATATATACACACATACACACATACATATATGTGTGTATATGCATATATGCATGTCATGTGTGCATACGTATATACACAGATGAAATTATATATAATACATGCATATAAATAAAGTATATACTTATGTACATATATGCATATATGTGTGTGTACATATATAATATATATATATATATATATATATATATTTTCCCCCCCCCCCAATCTAGACTGTTAATTTTGTTAGAGTAGAGAATTTCCCACATGGAAACTCTTAACCAATGCAGAGTTGCCTGGGAGGGACACTACTCAGTGATTTGTTCACAGCCTAACTCACAGAACCCCTTTCCCCCCCAAGTCTCAGCTTGGGCACCAACAACATGAAACCTTTTCCTGATGCTCCCCACTGTGAGTGCCCTCTCTTCCAAACTACCTTGGATTTAACTACTTTGTATATATTCTCTCTATATATACATGTATGCATGTATGTATGTATGTGTGTGTATGTGCATATATGTATGTGTGTCTATATGTATGTGTGTCTATACATATACATACATACCTACATATACACACATATATATATATATATATACATGCATGCATGCATGCATACACACACATGTATGCCTACGAACACAAACTTGTCTTCCATTAGAATATAAACTCTTTGTGAGTAGGGATTGTTTCATTCTCTGTATTTGTATCCCTGAGCTCCCGCACAGTCCCTGAAACATATTAATAAATGTTTGTTATTTGACTAATTGATGTCATGGTATGTCAAGGGCAAGACTTAAACTGAAGTCTTCTTGGCATCAAGGCTAAGCCATAGTCCTCTCTTCTCTGTCCCTCCCTTCTACATATACACATTTTGTTTTAGGTCAAGTTGTGATTTTATTGTCATAGAGAGCTCTTAGTGTGGAAATATCCTCCACTAATGCAAATCAGCAACTGACAGGATTAAGAGAGTTGCCTGAGGCACATGACTTAACCAAGGTCACCCAGCTTGGCAGGACTTTAACCAGGACTTTAGCCCAGGTCTGCCTGACTTGAAGAGCAGCCTTTTATCCATCATGACATACAATTGACATTACCTGAAAGTAGAAAATGCCTGCGTAGTACTCCTGGAAGCTTTGTCACCTGGTAGAGCAGTTTTTCCTGGAGGGTAAGGGAACTCATGGCAGCAAGGAGCCAGCAGTCCCCTGGAGAGAGAGAAAAATAGGCCAGCATAGGTATTATTCCCCTACCTCTGTGCCCTTTGACCTCAGCCTTCATGGTAGCAGAATCCACATTCTTTCGCACCTGACCAAGGTACCCACACTGCAGAATGCCAGTAAAAATCCACATCATCCCCACAAATGGATTCTTGGGTCAGGTTTACTGGAGGCCCAGGTAGGCATGAAAGAGAAATATTGAGGAAGATAAAAGCTGGCAAGGTAGATTTCCATACACTTTTTTTTACTGAGTCTCACCTAAGGTCTAGCTCCTCATGGAATGGCCCAACTCCTTGGAAAACCACCCTTCCTTGCACCAAGACTTTTTTTTTTTGGCAATTGGGGTTAAGTGGCTTGCCCAGGGTCACACAGCTAGTAAGTGTCTGAGGCCAGATTTGAACTCAGGTTCTCCTGACTCCAAGGCCAGTGCTCTATCCATTGTGCCGCCTAGCTGCTCCCCTTCCTTGCTAAGGGACAGAAATCCTTTTTCTGATTCTAGATCAATAATCCTAAATCAAAGCCAGATTGTTTATCTTGAGAATCCGGAGTTCAAACACTTAGCTTTGGGAGTTCACTTTGGTTCATAGGTTTTAAATATAGTAAATAGTGGCCCGAAGGCCTGCGTCTCTTTCTGGCTGAGTCCTTAGGAGATAAAGCTAGGAAGAGAATAGTGAATCTGGTCTAAGAGCTCTGTGGTAAGGAGAAGGTGTGGGCAAAGCCCTCTCTTCTGCCTTTTAGTCTTTTCTGTACCTTGGCAGGGAGTAAGGGTTTGCCAAAGATCTGGACAGAGGCATCTACTGCTAAGTAGATACCAACAGAGATACTATATGCTTTCCACCACGATGTACAATTGACTTATTACTATTATCATTTTTATTACCATTTATCATTACCATTATTACAATTCTATTACCATTAATTACCATTTATATTATTACTATTTATTAGCATTAATAATTAGATTAGCCTCATAACCAGCTATGGTACACTTGGAAGGAAGAGGAAAGGAAGGAACGAGAAGCTGAGAGGAATGAAGCAGCAGGTGGAGGAGAGCAGAGACCTGCTTTTTTCCTCCTCCCAATGCTCAAAGGATGGAGGAGTAGGAATGGATGGAGCATATGGGGTCAGAGACTTTCAGGGCTCGGGTATAGATTCTCTGTGGTTCCCTCTGCATCCCTTAACTTTCACTTTCTGGTATCACTAGTCAGAGTAATTCAGAGGCAGAGAAACCCTCAGGCAGATCAAGTGTAAAAGGAAAATAATCCCTGGCGCTTCCTCAGGAGCCCTTCAGGGGCAATGAATGGAAACTCAACTGAGGTTTGGAGGGTTTTGTTGGGGGGAGGGAAGAGCCGCAATCCCACATCTCTGTTTTAATGAACCTTGTCAGGTTGTAAGAAACTGTCTCACCCACCCACCCAAATGCATTCTTCCCACTTCCTTACCAAAAGACACCACAGTTTATTCATTTCTTGAAGCACGCCCACTGAAGGGAAGGAGAATCTGGGATTGAGGGGCCCAGAGGGGCAGCAGGTAGAAGGAAGGAAGGCTGAGAAGCTAACGGGATTAAGGGCTGGGAAATACGAGTTTAACCTCCTCTCCTAGTTTATACTGCAGGTTGGATAAGGGAAATTTATGGATTGGGGCCACTCCTGGCCACCAGAGGTGGAGGGGAAGGAATGGCTCTTGCCCATAGTCATATACCTAGTATATGTCAAAAGGCAGGATTTGAACAGAATTCTTACTGATTTCAAGGTCACTGAACTTGTCACACATGCATAAATACATTTTTTTTTAATTTTTAGGTTGAAACTGTGACTTCACTGGTATAGGTATCTCCCAGTACAGAAACTTCACCCACCAATATAGACCAGCATCTCTTCTATAACTTCTATCCAATTTAGAACACGGCTCTAAAGGGTCCTTATGGAGGTGGGAGTGGGAAGAAGAATATGAAATACTTCTCTTACTCTTACTTCCTGCCCTACCTTGACACTCAACCCCAACGCCCAGAGGCAGTTAGGTGGAAGGTGATTCAGTCAAAGCCTTCCCTACTTCCTGTTCTGAGACACCCTACGCTCACCCCCACTCCCTGTTACATAAACATCCCAGGACTCCTTCCCTCAGATTTTCCTCTTTGTGCCTGATGGATACAAACTGAAGACAAAGGGTAGGGCAAGGTGGTGGGCTGCCTTCTGGGAGAGGCTCTGAGACAATCATTCAAAGCTTCTGGGAAGTCATGGGACTCCTCTATGCCTCATAGGAAGGGAGAGGGCAAAATGGGAGAGAGGAGGCAATTTGGGATTGGGTAATGCGGTTTCCCTAGCTTTAGGGAAATGTTGAAATTCTCCTTCCCTGTAAGGCCATCTATTTCCAAATCTGCCCCCTTCCCAATTATTTTCACCTCCTATAACTCACCCGGAGACCCCTGGCAAACATCAGTCCTAGTGGCTCCAAGGTGAATTGAGGGCCATCTGCAATGTCCTGTGGAATAAAGGAGGTCAGGGTCCCAAAATAAGCCTCCAGACCTCTCCTCCATTCAGGGAGCTATTCCCTTGTTGGGACCTGGAAAGTAGAGGATGTTCTAAGGAAGTCCTGGAGGTTTGGCTGCAATGGGGATACCAAAGTAAGATCATACTGAGGGCATGGCTGGTCTGGCCAAAGGGAAGAGTCAAGGAGGGGAACTGAGCTGATAGGACTGGAGGCTTTCACAAGTGTTGGGATCAGAAGGAGAAGCGTCGAGGCTAGGAGCGCTGCTCACCTGAGGCCTCTTCCATTTGATGTCTTGAGTTTGAATTGAGGAGGGCCCCTATTCCTTATAGCCAAGAACTTCTGGACCGGCAGGGAAGTATGGATCTCTGAACAGCTGCCCATCCTGCAGGCGTTGTGCCTTAATCTCTTCACAGTCCTGGTTTACATATGGACCAGCTTTATCATATCTCCCCAAACCTTCAGACCGAAGCTTGTCCCTCCAGAGATGCGCTGCCATCCCACCGAAGGACATCATGGTCTTGCCACCAGAGACTCTGCCTGTTGGGGGAAAGGAGGTCAGTATGCACAGGAAAGGGGTCCTGTGTAGAAAAGAAAGTCAGGGGGAGAAAAGCGGGGAGCTTGCAATATTGAGAAGCAAGGGGAAGGGAAGGGGAAAGAGCATTATTAAACGCCTATTATGTACTGGGCACGGTGCTAAGAACTTTTACAAACATTATCTCATTTGATCCTCCAACAACCCTGGGAGGCAAGTACTTTTATTAGCCCCATTTTACAGATGAGGAAACTGATGTAAACAACTTACCCAAGTTCACACAGCTAGTGTATGAGGCTGTATTTGTTTTGTTTTGTTTTCGGTGAGGCAAAGGGGTTAAGTGACTTGCCCAAGGTCACACAGCTAGTGAATATCCACCTAGCTGCCCCCTCCCCTTATTTTTGTATGAGGCTGTATTTGAACTGAGGTCTCCCAGACTTCAGTCCCTAGATACCCTGAGAATAAAGAAGATGACAGGGATCACAAGGTGAGGAAATACAAAGAAATCGGGGTCAACTTTATAGTCACCATGCAGCTCCAATAATCACTTTCCATATCAGCATCTGGCTCCACAAAGGGCAAGGTGGGAAGAACTAACTGACCGCTATTTGTAACATCCTAGATGCTGTGGATTTTAAGCACCTAAATCAAGCCAAGCCCAGCTGGTCATATCACAGACTCATGGGAGGTAGAGCTGAAAAGGACCGTATAGTTTATTTAGTTTAAAACCCCTTCCTGCTCTATCCCCTTTTTATAGATGTGAAAAATGAGGTCTCTAGAGACTATTGTTCAGTCATGTTGGACTCTTTGTGACCCATCTGTGGTTTTCTTGGCAAAGATACTGGGGCAGTTTGCCATTGCCTTCTTCAGCTCATTTTACAGATGAGGAAACTGAGGCAAATAGGATTAAGTGACTTGCTCAGGGTCACACAGCTAGTAAAGTAAACATCTGGGGCTGGATTTGAACTCAGGTCTTCCTGATTCCAAGCCCAGGGCTCTCTCCACTGTGCCACCTAGCTGCTCTCTAGAAAGACTGAAGTCATACAAATCTAGTAAGTAACATAGCTGGGATTTGAACTTAAATCTAGTAGTCTTCATCTTCCAGGCAGAAAAGGATGAAGTCTACATTAGAAGTTGGATTTTTTACAAATCTGACTGAGTCTAAGTATGAGTTTTTAAAATAAGCTTTTATTGATGTCTTCTGTTTTTTACATCATCGTAGTTATCTTCAGTATTCCCTTCTTCTCCCCCTTTCAGAGAGCCATTCTATATGGGAAAAAAGCATTTTTTTAAAGTAGAAAGAAAAAGGGAAGGAAAAAAATCAGCAAAAGTGATCAATACATTGAAAAGATATAAAGATATGTACAATGTGTTACATCTGTGAACCTCCTTCCTCCTCAAAGGGATGGGTTGGGGGTGTCCTCTCAGATCTCTTCATTTGAGTCATGCTTGACTTTTAAAATTTTGTTCCCTTTACTCTTGATTTTTTGGTGTGTAGCTGTTCTTTCCATTTACGTTTTTGTATATTGTTTTCTAGTCTCTGCTTTCATTATTCTACGCTAGCTCCTGTAGATCTTTCCATGCTTCTCTGTATCCCTCATCTGTGATATTTGCTCTCTATTGACCCCAGGTAATAATAATAATAATAATAATAATAATAATAATAATAATAATAATAATAACTAACATTTATAAAGAACGTCAAGGTTTGAAAAGCACTTTACAAATATTATCTCATTTTATTCTTGCAACCCTGCTTTGTTATCCTCATAGTTAGTAGATTCGTAGGGATGATATTTGAATCCATGGGAGATGATCAGATCACCAAGTGAAAAAGAACAGAGAGAGAGAGAGAGGGCCCAAGATGGTGCTATGGTATGTGCTTGATAAATGTGTATTTAACCTTAAAGTGCTCTAGGTCAGAGGAATCAAACGTGCTTCATGGTAGCTGAGGACATTCCTGCTTGCTGCCTCAACTAGACTCAAATATAATTGGAAAATATTTAACAAAAGAAGCAAAAACACAAGATAGAACATGGGTGGTGTTGATAATGTGGTTTTCTACCCCAATATGTGGCCTGAAGGAATCAAGCTTAGTGGCTTCCACTTCTATTTGGCAACTTTCTTTTTTTAAATTTATTAATTTTTACTTTTCAACAATTACTTCCATAAGATTTTTGAGTTCCAAATTTTCTCCCCATCTTTCCCCTCCTCCCACCCCAAGACAGTTTGCAATATGGTATAGGCTCTACATATACATTCATATTGAACCTATTTTCACATGAGTCATGTTGTAAAGGAGAATTAGAACCAATGGGAGAAACCATGAGAAAGAAGAAACAAACAAAAAATTTTTAAAGAGAGAGAGCGAGCAAATAGTATGCTTCCATCTGCATTCAGACTCCATAGTTCTTTTTCTGGATGCAGACAGCATTTTCCATCATGAGTCCTTTGGAGTTGTCTTGGATCCTTGCATTGCTAAGAAGAGATGAGTCTATTAAAGTTAGTCGTCGCACATTGTGGCTATTACTGTGTACAATGTTCTGGTTCTGCTCACTTCACCCAGCATCAGTTCATGTAAGTCTTTCCATGTTTTTCTAAAGTACATCTAGGCAACTTTCTTAAGACTAGAGTTGGTAGGGGAAGTTTCCTCAGCCAGGGGAAGCTCCCCTAGACCAGGGGTGGGGACCTGCGGCCTTAAAGCCACATGTGGCCTTCTAGGTCCTTAAGCTCGGTATTTTGACTGAATCCAAATTTTACAGAACAAATCCTAACCTCATCACTGTCCTAAATAAGAAATCATAGGCCCAATTCCTATATTCATTCTACAGTTGAAGCAACTGAACCTGAGAGAAATTTGCCCATAATTAGAGAACTAGTAAGTGTTAGGGGCAGAATTTGAGCTCAGGTCCTCTCGACTCCAACTCTATATTGCTGTGGCTATTATGTCAAGCTGACTCGCTTATCTGTGTACTTGTCATATCACCGTCATCAGACACTGAGCTAAATGGGCATAATACTCACCCTGCCTCCCTCACAGGCTTCTTGTAAGGAGTGATTTGCAAGCTTGAAAGTACTATATTAATGAATTACTTGTATAATTAATTGTTTTGAGCTTTTTCCTGTTATTCATCTCTGTAAACCCAATCATTGCTCATAACAGCAAAGGCTCTCGGCTAAAATTGGCAGCCTCTGGTGTAAGTGCTTCCTCCCTTGGGGAAGAATAGCAAACTCTTTGACATTTAGTAGATAAATTCCAGGAAGTTGTCTGGAGCCCTGACAGGTTCATTGATTTTTGCTACAAATAATAAACCTCAGAAAGAGAATTTGAACTCAGGTTCACTCTGTCACCATTTCATATTACTTTCTGCATCACTGGAGTTGATGCCTATTATCTGTTGGATAATTCAAGGAATGCAGCTCTTTCCTCTGATTGGACAGTTTTCCCTGTACCCACCATTTTAAGGAAAGTGTCAGCTAGGTTCATGGCTTCAATCCTCAATGGATTCTGCTCCTGGCTGTACTCTGGATTTCTCCTCCCTTTCCTCTCCCCAGCTTTCTTTTACATGCTGTTTTCTAGTGAGTTCAAATGTGGCCTCAGATGCTTACTGGGCAAGTCACTTAACTCTGTTGGCCTCATCTGTAAAATGAGCTGGAGAAGGAAATGCAAACCAGTCTGGTATCTCGGCCAAGAACATCCCACATGGGGTAATGGAGAGTCAGACACAACAGAAAAACGACTTAACAACAATATAGTGCCTACCATATGCCAGGTACTGAATTAAGTACTTTACAAATATCTCATTTTATCCTTACCCTGGATAGGTAGGTGCTAATTTCATCCTCATTTTACAGATGAGGAAACTGAGGCAAATCGAGGTTAAGTGAAGCTGCCTGGAGGTGGGGGCTGCTTTCTTTTTGCAATTATTTGTATTCTCTTTGCTTAAAGCACACAATGTGTGACTTGTAGTAAGCTGTTAATAAATGCCTATCAACTTGACTTGAATGAATGGTACACAGAGAGGCGCACATGCTCGTTACAGACTGCAGACATATACCGTAGACACCAACACACACAAGAGTGAAACAGACCAGAGTTCCTTGCTATCTTCCGTTTGCCTGGCACCATAATCCCTTCCCAATAATTACATTACTTTATTTTGACCATTCTTCTTCCCCATGTTAAGCCCTTCTTCTCTTCCCCTCTTCCTTGGCTCATAACAATCAAGTTGATTAAATTTAGCTTAGTGAACTTCATTCTGTGGGTCTACCTAATGTGAATTGATAATTGAGCGCAAGGAGGTGGGATGGAAAATGTATAGTGATAGGTACCATTTATATAGCACCTACTAGGTGCCAGGCACTAAGCATTTTACAAACATCTCATTTGAGTCTCACGACAATCCTGGGACACAGGTGCTATTATGATCCCCATTTTACAGCCAGGTAGACAGAGATTAAGTGACTTGCCCAAGGTCACACAGCTAGTAAGTGTCTGAGGCTAAATATGAGCTGTCTTCCTGACTCCAAGTTCAGCACTCTATCCACAGTCACCAAATTCCAGCTCCTTAACTCTTTGTACAAGTTGGGGTATCAAATGAGGGAGTTGGACCAGAAACCAGGAGTAGAGAACCTGTGGCCTCGAGGCTACATGTGGTCCTGTAGGTCCTCAAGTGTGGCCCTTTGACTGAATCCAAACTTGAGGACCTAGTGGGCCACATGTGGCCTCAAGGCCTCAGGTTCCCCACCCCTGGACCAGATGATCCCTGAGGTCTCTTCTAGATCTAAACCCTGTAGTTCCATGAAAGACCATTGTACCAGGAGGTAAGAGATATGAGCTTCCTTCTGGCTGTGCCCACTGGCTCTGTAGCCAGCCCATCTCTAGGCTCTGTCTGCCCTACCTTTCACATGAAAGGTTGAAAGTGGATAATGTCCAAAGTCTGTTTCCCCTGTTGGAGTTATTTGTCTTTGCACAAATGTTCCTCCATTTTAGAATGCACTTTT